CATTTGCATCATTCCAGTCGGCACTACTCGGTTTAGAGGAGGGAACGCGGGTGAGGGAAGACATCAAAAATGGTAGATAGAAACCAATAAGGTGCCCATAACAAGCCGACTTGTGCTTTCTGGACTACGGAAACTGCACAAGAAGCTCAATTATCTCTACATACCCTCCAAATGGATGACAAAAGATGAACGAGTGGCTGCAGTCTGCCATGTATTCAAAGGCCATTGACAAACGTCATGATGACACAGTGAGGGCGGAAAGGTCGCTATGCAACGAATAGCCGGTTAATTCACCCCTCTTTCACAGAGTAATCAAAAACCTGAGTTGTACGGCTTAATACCCCGCTCTACGTAGCTTTCGGCAGAACCTGCTAATAAAAATCGTAGAGGTTACCTTGAGAATTGGCAGGAACCCACCGCGGCCCACTCGTCGTCGACTAACTTATACTCCTGCCATTTCAACTTTATGTGCCAGGGGAAAGGCGGAAATGCGCTTAAGAGTAGGGGTGTGGGGGGGGGGGTGGGACACACAGATATTGGAAGTACATGTGATGCCATCAGAGAACTGCTTCACTTTCAGAGGATCCAGGGGCGAGCTACAATTTCTACTCTTGTTGCAAAAGCGAGAAAGCGCCAGAAACGGACTACGCGAAATTCGCAGCAGGACCTATATGATTTAACATGGCAATGTTGTCGCATGTCAAGTCTCGGGGATAATCTGGTAGTTCAAGCGCTCGTGGAACTAACGGTCCGTACACAAGAGCTCCACGTAGAGCCAGAGGCAGTTCATATCAGAAGGTTAAAATGGGCGTCTCCAGTCTCCAGCTACATCCCCAGTTAAGTCGGAGTACGCCCTAACCCTGGGAAAAAATTTGCAGTGCGACCTCTTTTCGAAGTTCTCTCCGCCTTCACTCTACCACTCCCGACTCCCTTCCTACTTACTATCTTTCCAAAAACTCTTTAGCTTTCAATTGGTTCTCTCCTATCCCCTCCCCCCCCTCCCCCAAAAAACGCTGTCGAGTAAAGGCTAGCCGAGGGGGAGGGTGTACCACACGTGAAAGAAAAAGCAAGAAAGTGAAACCGAGACGTTATACTATTGACACAATTCTGCTTACCCTCTATCTGGGCCTTTACCATTATCGCCGTGCACATTTGGGAACGCCCCTTTTTGCCCTTAGATATGGACGAACGGAGCCGTGCGACGGTGCGAAACATGAGTGGACGTACTAGTGGAACAAAATATAACCACTCCTCTACGCAATATTCTGCCAAAGGAGCCTTACGGTTCGGTATTCACGTGTCATTGCCTATCTTGTAGGTATATCCCTGCTGTTGCCGTCTGAACTTTCGCGGTCGTCGTGGGCTTACCTGGGAACTCCCCTTTTTGCTATCACAATCAGATACAGACATATGGAGCCGTGCGACGGTGCGAAACTGGGGGTGGACATATAAATAAACAAAAATCACCTTATGATACCCTACCTAAAACCTCTCCGTTCCACCCATACGGGAGCTTCCACAATGATTTCTGGACAAACACTGGAAAAGCAAGCTCATACAACCCACCTGTTCTGGATCTGCTGTTTTCGGCTTTCGTTGACTTCAATGGGGGTGCTAGAAATTTCGTACGGTGCACCGCCATGACTGGTATACGTTCCCAACGCGTAGGACGGTCGAAATGGTCCCGTATCGAATAGGTCGCTATCGACGGCTTCTTAAAGCGGTCGCGGGGAGGAGGCCGGTGGGGAGTGCGGGAGAAGTGGGTGCCGGCGGGTGATGCGAGGGGTAGTGCGCGGTGAGGCGACGGGGCTGTCGTGTTAAGAGAAGGACGGAGTAAGAGAGTGAGAAGAATGGGCGGGCAAGAGACGAACTGGCTGGTGGTGTACAGGATAGGGTGGAGGAGGCGACGTAGATGAGAGCATATTGCGCTGTTGCGCATGCATTAATGAAATATTGTTCGTGATTGAGGTGCGCAAATCTCAGTGTGTAAGTTGTTTTTTCCTCGTCCTAAAAATGAAATCAAATTATGTAACATCAAGCCCACCGACATTTAGCTGGCATACGTAATTACACTGTTAGCGCCCCCCATATATTATCCTTACCTAATGCGGACGTTGAATGATCTAATGCTGCATCACCTAAAAGCGATTACAATTACAGTAATCAAAAAGGATGTTATGAGATGCTGGAAAGGAAATTCGACATAGTGGACGTCCTTGGGCATCTTTAAATGAGATGCACTTAAAATATTTCTTCAGAAGAACCTACTTCAGTCAAAAATGGAGATCAGCGCAAGTTGGCAAGAAGGCGCGGGGGGGGGGCGGGGGAATATTGCACTTCTATGTACTTCCCAATCTACGTGGTGCCGACGTCATCATCGCAGAGACGAATCTTGTGTTAGTTCGCGATTACTACCCGATAAATTGTTTGCGGGAGCCGTCTAACACTTTGTAGATAGTCTGTGCACTGCTTACAAATATAGTGTGAAGGGCATAGGAGAGTCAAGAGTCCGCGTGCTCTTGTCCTCTTTGCCACCCTTCTCGCTTTCTTCTACTTATCTGTCGTCTCGGTAATATATGTCTTGAGTATATTTGTCTTTATTGATTTCTTTCTTTCTATTTCTTAATGTCTGTATTTATGTCATTATTCTTCCTTGTCATTTCTTTTTTTCTGATTCTATGTTTTTCTTTTTTTATTTTTTTTTTTTTTTTTTTGTTTTTTTTCTTTCGATCGCCGTGTGTCTGGTTTTTTTTTTTTTTTTTTTTTCCCAGTATCGGTATTGGTGGCAGCGGCGCAACGGCAGTTGTTTTTTTGGCTTGTCTTCTTGTGTTCTTTTACTGGTGGCCGTGTGTCTCTCTTGTCTATGAGTGTTGTTTGATGTCTATAGAAAGTGAGTGACTAGGTGGATGGTGCTGGGATCCGAGGTGAGATGTGATATATTCTCTGTTTTTTTTTTTTTTTTTTTTTTTTTTTTTTTTTTTTTTTTTTTTTTTTTTTTTTTTTTTTTTTTTTTTTTTTTTTTTTTTTTTTTTTTTGGCGGTCTGATTGGCGTCATGGCTTCCCGAAATTTCACAAATCTACCTGACGGCACCCCCTCCTCCCTCCCTCTGTCGCGAACTCGCCTAATTTCCAATTATAGGGTGGTGACGACCCTTTAGAGCATTATAACGGCCTGTCTTCATCTTAAGAAGTGCTGTTTAACGGAGCCGAAAATTACCGACATAAATGCTGGAGTACTGAAGAGAATGGGACGGCATGGCACCCTTTCCGTAACCCTCTCCCTCCGGAAGAACCAATGAAAACAGGCAGGTATCACCGTGGCAAAGACTATTAGCTTGATGTTTGCTATTATTCCTCTACAATCACAACCGCTTCCACGTTGGTGAGGACGCGAACAAGCCCTCCTCATCTCTAGGATATGGATTATCCCACCCTTGCTGCCGATCGGACCCACAGAACCACATCCAACCAGTGAGCACGTATGAATCGGCCGCATGCGCGATATGCTCCTTCGCGGGCGCCATTTCAGAGGCAGTTTATTTTTTTCCGTGGACTTTCCAGTGAACCTACGCGCTCTTGCCGGGATTGGCAACTGTCAGAGTGCGCATGCCCCCGCAGATTGCGCAAAAAACAAACCTTTATAGGTTGTTTTACTGGCAGGCGGTTTTTTGTGCTGTCCAGAAGCTTGAGTACTCCTGAGAAAGGATACTGTCAAACGCGTTCATTGAAAAAAAAAGTTGAAAATAAACAAAACAGTCCCAATGAGTATCTGAAGGCATTGTTACTTTCGAAAGCGAAAGCTTCCGATTTTTCCGAAAATTCGTCAATTTTTATCCGAAAGTTGCCATTTGTAAGGGCACGTAAGTGCACTAGAAAAGGAAAACCGAGAAATCTAATACCCCGAAATCATTTTATCCAAAGGCTCATCCGAACCTCAGCACCCTCTCAGCGATTCGCAGACACGCCCTCCACCCTTAGTGAAAGTCCTGGTGGCGCCGTGCCGTGGCACAAACCTTTGCCCCGCTGACACGCCCCGATGACCTCAGTGATAACGCTCATATAGCAGAGGTGGGCGTGTCGCTCCCACTCCTAATAAGCAAATATCTAGGGTGCTTTCGGGAAGCAAAATGAAAAGTGGAGTTTGACTGATTAAGTAAAAACCGACATGTAATTACCGAAACTCGTACAATACCTAGTGTGCCCACAGATGGTTGATAAAGACCTTTTCAACAAAGGGATTGAGACTTTGTGACTTTTGAAGCAATAATTCGCTTTGGTTCCGCTTTTAGAAGACCGTGCGCTGGAGTTTTACTCGTCTTTCGTAGCCTAGAAGTGCGCGGCTCACCGGTCTGTACCGATCACTTTGGGCGTACTCCTGCTCCAAGTCATGTAACTTTTAATTTTCTTGGAACTTCTTGGAATGCATCGGGACTGGTAGAAAGGCGCTAGTGACGCCGGAGACATCGTACGAAGTTTCATCGTTGCACGTTTCCAATGATGAATATTTCGGCTCCTCCGATGGAGCGCCCTTCGCTTTACGCCCACGTAAGCTCCTTTGACTTTTGACACCGCCAGCAGCAATGCGTTCTGGTTTTCGAACTGGTGGGAAGGAGGATGCACGCACTGAGATTCCGCGTCCAACCGGAGCTGGTGACGATGGCGTGCTTTTGCATTTCGCGCCGCTGCTGATCACTTCAAGGGACGTTGGGGGGGAGCGGTGCAAGTCTTTGGGACCATGGGTCCAGTGGGGGACAGGATTCTTTTCGGGGATCGGGGCTTCATTGGCTTGCTTGGCACAGGACTGTTAGGCACATAGTTTCAATTTTCCAAGCAGCTCACGCCTGGAATTCAGGCGATTTTAGTTCCTGAGACAAAGATTCATTTGAAACACTTCGAGATAAGTGGGGTGAATCCTCTTTTGAGGGAAATTCGGGCAGTGGTCTCTCTCCAGAACTGTCCGAAGCTGATTTGCTGGTGGATGACTTTGCTGACAGTGTTCGTGGTGGAGCGCTGTCGGTAGTGCTCTGAGAACTTCGTGGAGTTTTTCTCCGATTTTGTAGTGGTGAGCCCAGAGAAGATGGTCCCAATTGGAGGGCGCTCCTCTCTGACCGAAAGACATTCTGCAGTTCTGGAGCCCGATTCTGGGAGGTTTTGTCAGGAGCTGGAGCTGCTGTAGGCGTTAATGGGGGCGTAACCAGAGTTTGTTGGACAGGTCGCAGCTTCGCTGCACTTGCAGGCTGTGACTTTGTGCCCAGATTTTTCTGGGCTGAACTCCGCTGCATTTGAGGCGCCTCTAACGAACTGACAGGAGTTTCTTGTACCTTCAGTTTGTGGGACAGTGCAGGCTGGCTTTTGCTACGGCTCTGCTTCTGGTTCGCCTTCTGACCGACACTGGTTGGCTTCGCTGAGACCTTGTTCAGGTTCTGTTTTGCTGGCGAAGACTTTCCTGGACGTCCCTCGGGTTCTCTAGGCAAAGATGACGTCCATGGCGGAGTCTTACCAGAAGCAGGCCCTTGGGCTGCTGCAGTCGCACCGATCTGTTGCCTAGCTTTTTGTGATTCAGGCCGTTCCCCTGACAGAGCTCTGGGTAGAGAACCAGAGCTGGCTGCAGCATCCGTCGGTGGATTTTTTCGCGTCATAGAGATGTTCGGTTTGATCGCTGGTGGATCTGCTTGCATTGCAGTTGAACGATTAGAAGGTGGTTCGGTTAGGATTACTTTCTTGTTAGTCGAGTCTTTTTCGCTTAACTTCTTTATGAATTGCATAACAAGTTTCTTGGGTCGTTGGTTAGATTTTCGGGCTCTTTCCTGAAAAATATAGCAAACATCTATGAAATGTTCAAAGTCACTACGTTATCATATGGGTGGTGCAGGCGGTGTTCGACTTGGGAGGGACGTTCTGCACATTTACTAGTTCTTTTGAGAGGTTAATTAATCAATAGGGAACACTTCAACGTGATTGGTAAACTCCCGTGAAGGCGCGAAAAGGTATGTGAGCATTCTTGATCACAGGATTTTACAGTTCCTCCTTAGGTAGCCTGAACTAACGGTAAGTGCCTGCCCCACCAAGCTGAAGTGCGCTCAAATTTGAATGCGCAACATCCAACGACCTCAGCCCCATGCCCCACCTAGCCAAGAGAAGTACATAGGTCCCTACCTTCCTTACTAGAGAATGATTAAAGACAGCTGGAACGATAATCGGGCTTGCGATATGAAGTCGCTTGAGGTAAATTTGTCTCAAAGAAATCAGGCTCTGAGCAGATGTAGAGCGCTCTGCAGCTAACAGCGCTAGAAGCGACTCAAAGAACTTATGATTATCAATGCCAAGCCCTTGTTCAACCCCGTCACTGGGCTTCATTCCGCCTTCATACCACCACCACAGCCAATGGTTTCTATTCACGTGAGCTCTAGGAATTGCGTTAGTAAAGGAGAAGTCGAAACCCAGGAAGTATAAGAGCCCCGTCTCTTTTCCAGTCAGTAGTACCGCAGAAAACCACATGAACCATTGCTTTAGTTATCACAAGAATGCTGAGTTATGGGCAAAAGTCGGACCACGGACGGGATTCGAACCCGCATCTTCTGCTTACCGGGCAGTTGCGTTCCCTATTACGCTACCGAGGCCACTTTTGACCACTCAGCTCAAACAATAACAACATTGCTTTGGTGATTAATTTCAGGAGTTGAGTTTATTGTTCCCTCGTCTGTACGGCGTTCTATGACCACTGTGATCTCAGACTCTCTCTCAACTCAGACATTCTGGCTTCTCACGCATGAATGGCTCACTCATGCTGGCATCCCCATCCCACTGCGAAAACCCATCCCTCACCTCGTCACGTGTTTCTTGCACCTTTCGATGCTTTGGCAATCCTAGTGGTATGCGCTAGGGTGCCTCGCAAGATTCTATGGAAAAATTTAAGTTGCCACGTCACCCTGGGTCAGCAATTGCCTACCGCCAACGCAGTCGCAACTATGTAAGTCCGTATGCAATACCCTTTCAGATAGACCTCGCTCCCACAGATCACGATGGAAGACAGTGAACGGTCGGTTTAGCAGAGGCATTATGGACTCTCTGGTTCCAGAGATCTTACTTTGGTCAGACCTGAAACTCCTATGAAGCTGGAAAACTGTTCGAGCGAGCCACGTTGATTACAGAAATCCACAAGTCTTAAGGGGTTGGCCTGTACAGGCTTAGCTTAGTAGCGCTCAGTCCCCCACCAACCCGAACTGAGCCCAGTTAGACCATCTATCGAGCCAGCTCCGCGCAACTAAAGTTGGTGATCACTAGAAGCTCTAACATTTCCCTTTGGCAAATTCCACAATTTTTCACTTTCCTCAATTTATTGGTTGAAACGGTAACGCAGGCAACTTTTTTGGAAGT